TCGAGAAGCGTGAGACTGTGGAGAAACTGCAAAGAACAGGGTAGACAGTCATAGTCAGTAACTCCCTGCTCCTCTCTTCCAGTGCAGAGGCCTGCAGACAGGCCAGTGCAACTGCTGCCCCCACTCCCATCCTGACACTCCTCCAACCTTGACTCACACAGGAAAAAACTGGAAGTACAACAGGCTGGGTGGTAAAGGGATTGCATTTCTAGCAAAATTGACTTATTTACACCATACAATTAAGGAGTAGGGGATGCTGTTCAGTGAAGTCAGACTGGGGTATCTGGTGGCAGAGCCCTGGCCTAGCATTGGTGAGGTCACCCAATACAGCAGAAAAATGGTCCTAGAGTCCACACTGGAGCCCTGAAGGTACAATGACTTAATCTCCCATACCACAAGTTGGCCCTAAAGCCAAAAATCTGTCTTGACCAATGGCAGTGATGTCCCCACAGGACACAAGAGCTAGTGGCCTCCTATACGAGGTGAACCTGCTCTGTGGAGAAGAGGCAGCTTAGACCATGAAATGGCAGAGCCAGAGCCCTGGCAAGACAAGAGAGTCCTTCCAAGCTTTTGCCCCCAACCTGCACCTAAGGGCTAAGAACAAGAGCTACCAACCTACAGGGACATCAGGGAGTGCTTTTGTCCCCATTTCCAAGATTTAAAAAACAACAACAACAACAACAAATGGTAGTGGTCCAAGACTGCAATCCTAGCACAAGGAGGCTAAGGCATGAGGACCGCTATAAGCTCCAGGCCAGCCTGAGCAACAGTGCAAGACCCCATCTCAAAAAAAAAAAAAAAAAAAAACCACAGCATAATTTTAGAGTCCCCATGAAAACAATTGGCTCCATATATATCCCAGGCAGGAGCCGCCTGTCTGTAAATGGGTTCTGTGAGCAAGCTCAACCTCTGCAGCCTCTGGTGTTTGGTTGTGGAGTAAGGATTTCCAGGTTGTCACCCAGGTTAGTCCTGTACTCTGGGCTCCACACATTCTCAGCCTACCAGATGAGGCCACACTCACAGCTCCACACCCCTAGGTTCTCGGATAGACTCAAAGCCCTTGTGTCACCCTCTATGGGGGCCATGGGAACACATACTCCTGTACCCAATGGATAAGTGAGAAGAAAAGAGACAAAGTGACTGTGACCTGCCTCAGTAGGGTCACAGCCATGATCTTTAAGGCACTGGGATTGATGGCTACCAAAGACCCATCCTGAGCACAGCCCTCTCTCTTTGCTGCACTTGTAAAAGCATGCACAGAGGGAGGTTAACCTGCTAGAGCTCAGACACCAGCAGCAGCACAAAAACAAAGGCCACAGTGGAGCCTGAGTCAGGGCCCAACCTTAGGTGTTCAGAGAGTGCCAGTACCACAGGCGCAAACATCCTCTGAGGTTGCTGGGCACCTACCAGGAGCACAATGGGAAGGAAGCAGATTCTATCCTACACAACTACAGCACAGAACCAAAACGTCTGCCTTTCCACTGAGACTCAAGCTAGTAGCCAGACCCACCAATGAGCTAACGAGGATCCCCCTCCTAGGAGATGAATCTCCAATTCAAAGACACTACCACTCAGCTCATCATTTGGTATCCAGCATGCTCGAAGCTCCTACATGATCCCACTATGCATTCTTTCCATGAGTATATGCACTAACTCATATCTAACATCATATCCATCCTTACCATCTTTGCTACAAATTGCTAAAGTCAGGCTAGGGCTTAGCTTGGTGACAGATTGCCTGATGAGCATATGTGAGGCCCCCAAAGTCCAGTACCCAACACCGTTAACATACATAAAAATAGTTGATTTCCACACAATTTCAAGACCACCAACCCAACAGAGTGCTGCCCCACATACCCGTTTTTCCTGTCCTCCAGGCCCTGAGGCGGGGCAGAAGGCTGGGCACAGGTAGAGGCATGGGGTCCCTGTCACCGATGCGGACCTCAGCCACCAGCTCAAGCATGTCCTCACTTCTGCAAAGCAGAGAAAATGATGAGCCTCAGCAGTGCTACAGCCCTAAAGGTTAAAGTCACCCCTACCTTTAGCTGCCTGCCCAGATTCTTACTCGCCAGGTCGAAGGTCCAGGCGGCTGGGGACCCAGGTATCCGGTGGATCCAGGATGTTCACCAGGCCCACAAGAAAGCTGTCTGCAGCTGTGTCCAATACCTGGAAGGGGCCACATTGGGCTCTGTTCTGTTAACACTCACACTGAAAACTTCCCAGTTCTAGCCTCTCAGGAACCCACCAACTTCCCTCAAGGACATTCAGGGATCCAACCAACCATATCCTTCACTGTCTCTGGGCGCAGCTTATAGTCTGGTATCTGGTCCCCAGACTCCCATCACTGCCCACTAGAGTTACCCTAGACCCAGGGATATAGATCCCCAGTTCCTTTGTCTTGTAGCCCCAGGATGAGGTCCACAGATACCCTTACTCACAGTGGCTGTGTCAGCACCCCCTGACTCCTGTGAGCGAGGCTCTGATCGTGGACTCCGGCAGCAGCGCCTCCATCGAAGGCCGCGACACCTAGAGCCATCTGGAAAGACATTGAAGTAAGGTGGCACTCAGTGTGAGGCTGTGCAGGGCACAGGGCCAGGACCAGACCTAGCATTTGCTCCAGGAGTATCTACCACCTCCCAATTAGGGCAGAACCCTGAGTGCCCCCAACCCAGCCTGTACCCATTGGATTACTGAAAGAGATGTCTCAACTTGACCTTTAGGCCTTGCCTAGCCCTAGGCCTAGATGTCTCCTGCCTCCCAAAAGAGTTCCTACTACCCTGCTCACAACCTCATCAGCTGTGAAGCCACACTGGGTCCCATGATACCATTCCCCTATGCTGCAGGTCTGCTGGTCCCCTGCCAACCAGGCCTTCCTCAAGCCAAACCCAGTCCCCTGGACACTCCTGACCCTAGCTCACGACTCACAAAGCCTCAGAAAGAATGAAGATACCAAACCCAGAGGAGGGATAAGGGCCTGAAAGGACTAGACCTCATACCTTTTTCATTAGGCAGGTCCCCCTGCAGGGAGCTTCCCACAGCCTGCTGAATGGCCCGCTGGGAAAGGGGGGAAAATTAAAAATCAGGGGTATCAGGGAAGAGATTTCTGTAACCTCTGCTGTTTGGAAGGCATGTCCCAGGCACCCCACAGCCAGACCACAGGCTGAGGCTACATAGGGCCCCACTTCTTCCAGGTTCCAGACCCTCAGCCCCTACACCAAGAAATGGGAATCTAGGTCCCCAGGCCCCACTGCCTGCAGCTGTCTTACCAGGATAAAGGCAGAAGGAGAAAGGGCAGAATCTCTGTCAGGTGGACCATCTCCCCGATCCTCTCCCGATTCTTCTGCTTTACCTCGAGACTCATCGTCCTCCTCCATGGTCACCTGGGGTTGAGGGCGAGAGTTTGGAGTGAAGGCTGAGGAAGGAGGGTGCAGCAAGCCTCAAGGACCTCCAGCACTGCCTCCATTGCATCCTCCGTTAGTGTCCCTCTCTTCCACCAATTCCTGATGACCCTGTACTTGGTCCCACGTTGACCTGAAGGGACTAGAGCCATTCTCGTCCTTCTGGTTTTCAGCTGCCTCCCCTGTCAATGGGAGTTCTCTCTGACACCTGCTTTGACATCTGGCCCTCCACTGCCCAGTTTCCCAAAGCACCTAGTCAAAACTCACATTTCCCAACCCAATCAGGTAGATGCAAACTCAACCATGACTTTGGGTCTCATGATTTTAAGAGTGTGCTTCAGTCTCAGAAGCCCACCTTCCCCACATTAAGAAATGTGCCAACTTGCTCAGTGGTACTCTGTAATAGGCACCATAGCTTCACATAGCATCCATCACCCTCTATGGTGAGGAATCAAAGAGTTTTATTTATAGACATGAAATACAACTATGACAGTATGGTCTACATAACCACCATATTGCTTTTAAAACAAAAATGCCAAGTTTCAGAAAGGCATGCTGTCCTCCCAGCCCCATTGGGACACTTGCCTATCACCCAGCTGCCTGTCCTGTGGAAGCATGGCCAAAGCCTCGGTGATGTCACGGGACTTTTGAGCTTTGAGTGCCCAGTCAGGTGGTTGAAAGAGCATCCTTCAGACTGGCGGATGTCTTGATTGAGGCTTCAGAAAATATGAACATCACAGCTGTAAGCCTCCCCACAGCTGTCAAACCTGTGACTCTGAACACACCTAATCTTGGGAATTCCTAGAAACTCTGGGCTCCCTATCTGAAAATGGCAAAATAGTAGCATCTATCACACTCATTTGCACATACAAATGGCTGGATACACATTAGCAATAATTGTATCATTAGTCCTTAGACCAGGTTTCCCCTTTTTGTCTCAGCCTGCTTCCCTGGCTGTGCATCTGCAAGGAAAAGACCTAAGACCTGATCCCCGTTCTACTAGGAAACTTGGCCCAGGCCTCCTCATTCAGCCAGCCTCTCAGCTGCAGCTGCCCAAATCTTCAGCTTCTTCCCTAATTCCCACAGCCATAACCTACTCTGACAGCCCCTCTACCATATCTAAGGTTCTCTAAGCTAAATCAAGACCCTTGTACCCTGTAACAACAGTTCCCAGCTCTGGTGCTGCTCCCCAGCACTGTCTGGGATACAAATGCTATCCAGACTGTCAAGAAACTGTATCAAAAGCACCTGGCTGCAGACTTGGAGATTCCCAAAACCACAGACATTATAAGGCTCTGCAGACCATGGGAGATCAGTGATCCCTCAATTACAGGGTTCTGGGAGCAATTTAGTGATTCATAAATAGCTTATTTCACAAAGTAAATAAAACATAGTGGAAAATATTTCCCAAGTTTTAAATGGAAACATCAGTTTACAAGACTGGAGTAATATTAGTAAAATGCATAAGTTGACATGTACTCAATCTCATCCAACAAGGTATTTCCACCTGCCTATCAAGGTCAAGTTGCAGAGCACTGCACTAGGTTGAGTCCATACAGCTTTACAGACCCTCAGGCCTCCAGGGACTGATTCTAACTCCTCAGCATTAGCACAACACAGGTTCTTTCTGTTGTTTTTTTAAAGCCATTTTTTAAAATTACTTCTTGAAAGGCAAGTACATTTGAGCTGGGTAAAATACCCAGCACTTTCTGTTGTATTATTCTCCACACATTTATCTAGTTCCCCAAATCACTTGAATTTGCTCCAAGACACAGTCTGGATTCTTGCAATCATATCAAAATCACCTGGATAATTCCAGTTCCTTCTAACTGCCCCACCCCACCCCACCCCCGTCTCCGAGTCACACTTCCCAGACCTTGAAGACCCATTTATGCCTCTGGGTACATCACATCGCTTGCCTCCCTCTCCCTGGATGGGAAAACATCTCTTTCTTCCAGGTAGCCCTTAACACTTCCTAGTCCTTGAAGAGGGCTTCCAGGCCTCATAAATTGTCCCAGATCCACGTAGATGATCCGAATGCAGAGGCCAGCACAGGTAGACACTTCCCAGCCCTAAGAGACATACCCCAGCGATCTAGGTGGCTCTGCAGACCCCTTCACTCTTGGGACACACATCAAGATCTCAAGATGGCCCCAAAAGCCTCTCAACAGACCCTAGCCTATGGTCGCACATAAAAACCATCTACAGCGCCTGCAGACACGTCCGAGTTCAGCAATGCGATGGAAGGCTGACACAGGCGCGATCCAGGCCCTATGGACGTCCCCTGGTACCCACGGGCGCGTCCCGGGCCCTAAGAAGGCCCCACACTCAGCGACTGCCTTGGCCG